TCCATGAGGGGGTTTGACTTCTCGTGTCTTCTTGGAGATGCTATCTACTCCATTCTTCATGGTGGGTGAAATGCTCCCTAGTCTTGACTTAGCCAAATTTTCAAGACTGTGACCAATCTTTCTGCCTTTCCTACGTCTTTCCTTGTTGGACTTGCTCACATGTCCATTGTTTGTCATGCTCACTTTGAGCCCTGTGGTCATGGAGTTGTCCATCTTAACGTTTGGTTGAAGACTACCTTCTCTCCTCCATTGTGTCACACCCAGTATGTTTCCACGAGCCATTGGTAATTGGTCTTGACGTGCTTGTAAATTCTTGCGAAGGAACCTTCTTCTTTGGGTCCTTGTCATCTCAGCCACTACTACTGGCTGTTGATGACGAGAATCATACGTATGCCATCCACCATGTGGAACATCTGGCATCTTGAATGTTCTCCTCTTTTGGAAAAGAGCATGGGCCACCCATTGTCTCGGTTGCCCCCAAGCTGGTTGCTTCACTCCTTCCACCTGTCTCTCGTATGGCGGGTACCTTGGCCTGTTGGGAAGACCAATTCTTTGATGAATCGATGGCCTCGGCTTCTCTTCGTCGAGTTTGAGACTCTTCTTGCACCGAGCACACAACTTGTCAACTTCATCAGTCATCATTGCGGCCGGGCTGGCCTGCTTGGTACTCGACGAGCTCCCTTGCTCGAAAACCACATTGGGGCTCCTTCGAGGCGGCGTTGTATCCAACACCAGCTTGAAACGTGGCAACTCGACTTTGGAGAAGTCTGGGTTGACCATGTTGACGCCAAGCACCTTGGGGAATAGATCAGTGTCCACCAACATGGCATCCTTCTTCGCCTCAGGGAACTTGATGCGTCCCTTATCAATGGCATCGTGCAGGATATTACGGAACACCACACAAGAATCAGTGGCATGTGACATGCTATTATGCCACTTACAATACTTCTTTCCTTTTAACTTCTCTGGTGGGGAGAAGACATGCCCCCCTGTCAACTTGACTTGACCATCCTTATAGAGTTGGTCAAAAATCAAGTCTGCCTTCGAGACATCAAAGGAGTACTTCCTTTTTTGAATGAGAGCACGATTGGGTTTCCCCCCTTGCAGCCCATCTTCAATTTTAGCCAAGGAGGCACACACGTATGGCTTCCCTGGAATTATCTCAGCCAAGTGCACCTCAACCTCATTAGCCTGGTGGCCAACATGATTGATAATGTAGTCTAGGTTTGGGAAGTAGGGTCCTCTTGAGGCACTCCTACGATTCTCTTCTTCATGTAGAAGAGACTCATACCTCACGGCACAAGACATGAGTTGAAACAAGTCAGAGAATTCCCTATCTTGGAATTTTTTTCTTAGTTCAAAACTCAAACCCCCTTGTGCCAGCTTGACGAATTCCCTCTCCGTCAAATTGATAAAGCAACGATTACGAGCATTCTTGAAGTTAGTCAAGAAACGCTACACCGATTCTCCTGGCTGTTGGCGCATACGTGTCAAATCAGCCATGGACACATCGGGCTCAGATCTATAAAACTGAGCGTGGAAGACTTACTCCATTTGATGCCAAGTATGGATGGAGTTAGACGGCAAGTTGACGTACCAAGCAAAAGCGGGCCCTGTCAACGAGTTGGCGAATAATCTTAACTTTATGAAATCTCCTACATCCCCACATTGGACCGTAAAGCGTCCCACGTGCTCGACAGTAGACTGATCTCCAGTCCTTGTGAATGTGGCGAACTCGGGGACTCTAAATCCCCTTGGGAAGGGATGTAGCCTGTCTACCCATTCTGGGTACGGCTTACGGTATACAGGTGGCATGGCAGGTCTTACTCCCATGCCAAACTGCTCCGTGAGGAGTTGAGCCACTTGATCCCTCAAGGTGTTGGCTTCATGCCCCCCTTTTGCCCCCCATACGGTACAAACCCAATGGGGTCCACGCCATGCCCATTGAAATGGGGTGGCGTTGGAGTTGGGTAGCCTCGTGGTGGAATTTGATCCATGTTGCCACCTAGACTTCCTCCTACCCCCACATTCATGGGAGCCACGTAGGGTCTTGCCTCTGGAATAGAGGGACGAGCACCCATTTGCACGGGTGGCTGCTCAACTCGAGTGTTGAACATGGCGGCGAGGTTCTCACCACGCGGGGGGTACCACTTCAACTCTCACGCGTCCATGTGACGACTCCCCTACTTGAGTGGTAGCGGGAATCTCAACATCATCTACTCGACGTAGAGGTGGTTGGCTTGCCGTCTGAGGCGGCAAGTTCTCTTGCCGTGGTTGGCTATTCCGACCGCCGGCGGGAGAATGAACGTTATTAGTAGGCGTTGGGCTTGTGCCATCTACTGGCAAAGCTCTTGACTGCACTACTGGTCTAGTTAGAGTTTGTCGAAACTGATCCAACTCATTTGTGTTTTTGTTAACAACCTCAAACAATTGACTGAAACGTCTATCAATGCGAGAATTGAGACAGTCAATTTGAGAATTTACCTGATGTGTACTAGCCCGAGTCTCCTCCATCATACGACGGTTCTCCATCAGCATTTGGCGGTTCTCCTCCGTGGCTCGAAGGTTGTCAGCCACCATCTTGCGGTTCTCTTCTGTAGCTTGACGGTTCTCTGCCACCATCTTGCGGTTCTCCTCCATCATCTGACGAAGGGCCCCCACTGCTTCGCCGAGATCTCCACCAGGCGCGGTCGCCACCAAGATCTCTGCTCCACCGTTTCCTCCGGTCACCGCGTCGGACACTTGGCCATACTCGATGTTGGCCACCTGCTCCTCCATGAATCCAGCCGGAACGTCACCTTCTTGGTTCCTCCGCCTCGGAGCCATTGAATCGACCACAAGTGTCCCACCAGGTGTGCCAAATTTGTCCTCCGGCGAGAAAACTTGCGTTGAAACGAATTGAATGCACCTTGACTTCTTTGGACAACAATCACTAAGACACGGTTCACACCTCTTCAAACACACTTCGAACGAGGGTGTTCGATGTTTAAACCGACTCACGAGACAGAATCTAAATTAAGTTACTCCTACTCCTATGGAGGTTCAGTGAGAGCTCCAGATCTACGACTAAAACTGAAGAGTAAAAGATAAAGGGATAAAATTTGGCATTGTGTTGTCTAGTGTGAATTTGGCGACCCCTTTCTCTGTCTACTCCTCCTCCTCCTATTTATAGCTTTGAAGTGGTAACCGTCGTAGAAACTGTCTTAGAGTAACTTCCAAAAGGAACTGCTCTCCTTCTTTCTCGGACGTGGCTGACGTGTCATTGCACGTGGGATACTCGGCAGTTTCTCCGTTAACCGCCTGCTCTTCATCCTGGAACTGTCGTCTTGTTACTTGCCTCTCCCACATGACTTGCCTTCTTACTTCCAACTTGTTAGCTCGGATCTTGGGCATGGTCTCACGATGCGGTGTAGATCTCGCAACCACGTCGGGCTCTAAATTTGACGCCAACGTGGTCTAGACTAGACTAGACTAGCTCCTTCTTGGAGACTTAGTGATTTGGGCTTAAAAACTAGTATCATGAGGCCCAGTTCAAATAACACTAATTGTTATTAATGATCTGGCCTTATAAAGGCAGTTAGTGCATTGTAAGTAATCAATGTGGTACACTAGTATTTTTTAGTTGTAAACAAATATCAAATATAAAATAAATCCAACTTGAATGTCATCCCACAATTTGTTTTCTATTTCATCACGTCGTATATCCATTCCCCATCCGTTAAATTTGTTACTCAACTGCTCATCAGCATCCATGTTGTTGAAGAATCTTCAAGCCATCTTTAAATGTCTATGTTCCAGTTTGTATGTGAGCAGGTAGTAACTCTCGTTTGATGAGGATTCTAAGGAGGATATGAAATTGATTAGAAAATAGAAATGATTTTTCCTCTCCATGTACCATCACACACATGAATCGTCAGATTACTTAAGAGAGAAATCTATTACAGTTGAGCAATCTATCATTTCTAAAATTATAACGACAGCAAACCGTGTATTATCTTTATTAGACACAAGATAGGTTAAATACCAATGGTAGGAAATTAATTGAATTACTCGATTTAAAATGGAAATCCATGTGACTTTGGGGGAAACTTGATTAGGATGATTGCCTTACTTCCTACAAATAGCTTTACATTTTCTCATTTGTGCTTCTTTATTTCAAATTTACTATTGCTGGCGGTTTTGTGATTTAACTTTTGCAGTTTACTGGTTATTTTATGACTGTGTTTTATTTGCTTTGATTTTATTGTTTTCAACATTTTACCCTTTTGTTGGCTTGAGTATTTTGTGGAAGCTATTTTTTAGGTGGAACCTCAATCAGAATTAGTTTTGAACATGACTGAAGTAATTGGCTGGAAAGGAGTCATAGGGATTCTGACCCTAGCAGTTTTCGTAAAGCACAGTGTAACTATAATTTTTTTTATGTAATGTAACTAGAATTTCATATAAGGTGGATCTGATTTTTTTTTAGAAAAAACTAGTCACGGGCTCGGCCAGTTGACCGGATTCAGTCGCTCATCACGTAAACTCTCTTATCAAATTGAATATGAAATACACGTATTTTGATTGTATAAAAAAATATAAATTATTCAAATACTTGAAATATTCAAATTAATTGGTAAAATAATAGAATCCAAATTATTGAAGTAATTCAACAATTTAAAATTATCAAAATCATAGTGTTTTTCGACATTGTAACTGACTCATCGGCTATTTTTCCCTCGAAAATGAAAGACAAATCCAAACCAACTCCTAAAGATATTCTAAAATAATCCTTCTATTTACTACTCATCGTGAGAGATCACTGCACATTTCTTTTTTACTTGTTTGCACTTCTTCCATCATGAGCAACATTTTCACGTGCACCATGTTAATGTCTTCATCTCCATTACCAATTTACTCTGCTTTCTTCTCTTCCATTTAACTAATTTCTTCCTTATTTTCCTACGTTTTATCGAGCATAAAAATATGATGGTAAACTATTTACAAATACCAATAATCTTTTTCATTTGAGTGTAATTTATCTCATCCACGTTATGATCAATATTCATGATTTGTTCTTTCTCCTCATCATGGGTATTTGTATCTTTCTCATGAACAATGTCTTTCTTCTTCTCAAGATCATCGCCATTTCTAGCACCCGATCTAGTACGTCTGCAATGAGTAGTCTCATTCTTGTTCTCCTACATTAGCATTAAGAATAAAGATCATTGACTTTCAAAATTACAATATATTATGTGACTTTCTAGAATAATAGGTGTTTTAAAATATATTGAAGTTAAAATGGTAGCCGGATACAATTGCTTGCATGTTATTATGAAAGTAAGTAAAGTTTCACCAAGGTTTTGTGTTATAAACGACATGCATTTGCATGTAGATTAAAGAATACAACTAAGTGTCATTTGTGCATGGTTTAAAAATTAAAAACATATACACTTGATAATACAACCAAGTATACAATTGCATGCATGCTAGTGGGTAATTAAGGAAAGCTACTCTAGAGTTTTAAGTTATACAATTAAATGCATTTGTCAAAGCTAAAGAATACAACTAACTATCATTTGTGCATGATATAAAAATTGAAGAGCTATATAATTTATCATATAACTAAGAAGAATTTACACATGGTATACAATTGATAGCATTTTATTTACTGGACGATAGATGCAATTAATTGCCTTGCAAAATCAACATGTCAAAAGTGGATATGGTAGGCAGGTTAGTTAAATATAATAATAGGGGGTGCATGTTTCAAATATACTCCAAATTAAATAATGAATATCACAATTTTTTAATTAATATTGACGCAGGGATAATTTACCTCGATCAAATCATAAAGATCGTCTGAATTATGCTCTTCCATCTTTCCTTGAATTGATACTTTCAAAATTCCAAAATATCCATCTCCTAGTCGATCCATAAAACAAAAGTTAGCCTCAGTGGTTTTGTCCATAACTCGAATGTAGATCCTAAATAAGTATGATGTTAGTAATGAAATAAACAACAATAGAAACTGATACTTTTGTGGACAGGTTTCACGTTCAACATAACACCACCATTCTTAACTTTGACAACATTGTTTTTGATGAAGTGCTTATTAGTTATTACATAAAATGTTAGTGTTTGATAGTTAATGGGTCAATAAATTGAATTGATACTTACCTCTTTTCCATCTTTCATTTTTAATTGATTTAGCGTTTGCACGATTTTGGTTGAAATTTAGTTGTCGAGGTGCTTTCGTACTTTTCACTGGAAGAGTTGGTCAATCTCAGTCACATTTTTACCACAAAAAAATGATAATTAATCCATTCTTTTATTTGAAACTTCAAACTTATAACGCGTAACCAAATACATGATTAAATTGTCATGAATTTTACCTTGACAAAATTAATAATTTATGAAATTCTTGGATTTGCCAACATTAAAGCCACTCCAGTCTCTAGATGAGGAGAAGGTTTTCTCCTTGCAAATTTGACAATCATTTAATTAAGTGTCATATTTATTTGCAAATATTTTTATTAATAATGACAAAGTAATAAAGATCCTTACCATTTTATGAAAATGGAACGACATGTAATGACCAAGATGAAAGGGCAATTACCCGCATTTGCAAGAATGACATTTAATTGGGTAACTATCCTACCAAAGAGATTACCTTGACAACCAACCTCCTCCAACCACATTCAATATTAGATTTGCGATTTGAATAAAAAAAAATGTATGTTATTTTAAACTGAAAATAAAAAGAGTTACGTACTCGGGAAGTTTAAGTTGGAGCCTCCTTGTTAGTAATTTTTCAGATGTTAATAAACTCGAATACTGAATAAGCAGGCCAACAACATCTGTGGAATGAAATTTTAAAAATTTAATTAATGTTTTTGGTTGTATACACATTAGATTGAAGTAAATTTGAATTGAGAATACTAATTATAACCTAAAGTAAATTTGTTTTGGTTGCACGTTAGATGAAATAAGACTTGTAAGCTGGTATGGTTGTAATATCACATGTTTCGGATTGTGTATTTGATTCAAACTTGATGACCAAAATGTTTAGAACTGACCATAAAGTCTTGATAGTGTGAACTCTTTGGTCACAAAACAGGTGAAGAAAGTAGTTGATTTTTGCCCTTTGGGAATTTGCACCCAAATATCAATATCCTGAACGAAAAGTACGAATATTAATAATTTTCCAAAATTTGGATCAGTTTGGGATTGATTGGCAGCCATTTCCTCGAAGCCTAACATTGAAGAATTCAACTCCTCTTTTAAATTGTGAGATCGTATATAAGCTTGGATTGTATAATGACTAACCTCAAGTTAAAACAACGATGAAACAAATTTTTCTTTGTTTCACAATGGATATCTGATTAACTCACGAAACATGTATGAGCTCAATCTTGATTCATGAGTATACGTGAACTGTAAAGATTGATTTCTACTGTCAATACATAATAATATGCTAGTACAGAGGCAGTTGCAATTGGGTAGTGTTTGAGCCTTGATGCCTCGTCACTAAACCCGCTCCTTTGACGGTAGGCGTCTGGCCTACACACAAGAACACAGAGGGGGGCGCCTGGGCCCGTTTGCCCTCCGACGATCAAGTCAGTTTCCTTTCTAGAGAGAGAAGTGTGTAGTAAGTGAGTTTAGAGAGAGAGTCCAACCTATGTAAATGCTACCAACCTCCCCTATTTATACCCCCCAACTCGAGGTTGATCTCTTCCACGTCATCGTCGCATTTATGCCTTGTACCTTCATTCGTCAGATGCCCCAACCACCTTGTCAGACTTCTGAAGACTGGCAGGCGCCTGCAGATGGGGGACCATTTGACAACCTGGACTTCTTTGGAGTCTTTAGTGTTTTGTCTTTATGCGCCTCCCCTCCTGTTTGGAATGGGTTTCGTGGGCCCATTTATGGGCTTATCCTACTGGATAGCCCATACTTGTCTCATTGGGCTTCGTTGGGCCCTTCTTTCGGCATTCTTTGTAATAACCCCAACAGGTAGTGAGTAAAAAAAAGAAAATAAATTTAGTAAAACATCAAAACCATTTGAATAAGGACTTGCAAGGATACATGTAATAATTCATAAGCTAAAAGATAATCAACTGGAAAAGGATGGATATGTTGGGTGGGAGTAGGCGAGTAGCATGATGTCTCTAATCCATGAATTATATTGTAGTTTGGTGAGAGTTAGTTGTTGTGTAGGATTGTATCTTCCGCCTTCTTTGCACTATTGTCTATAGCAATTTGGCTACTTAATTTCAAAGTTACTGATGCAGCAGAAATATAATTGCAAAGTAGTACTATTTTATTTTGTATTCCTATTCAATAGATTAGTAATTCCACTATTTGTGTGTGGTATAAGTTTTGGAATGAACTGAGTTAACCTCTCTAATTTTTTTTCTTATTCACTTTGTTTAGGCTTCAAATATTCTTTTATGTGTTTCCTTCATATAAGAACCAAATTGAATCAATGGTGGCCAGTAGAATCACTAAACTGGTTACAATAGCGGTTCGGTTCATTTGATTAGACAGTTAGAGATGGACAGAACGATTTTTAACCGTTTGACATAAAACCATATGAACCACCCTGGTTTAACTGATCCAGTGGTTCACTATTTTAACCACACAGAATTAAAGAGAAAAGTAAGTTAACATAAACTAAAACCATCCAACCTCAGTCACTAATTCTATTTATGCTTCATTTTTTCCTAGCTTTCTTGACATAATTATATATTCACTACGGATCGTCACTCTTACTATTGTTAAATAAAAAAAGTACAATTTTCTTTTTTTAAATAGTTTGAATGCTTTGTTATAACTTTTTGGTGATAAATGACTCAGTCACTAATTCTATCTATGCTTCATTTTTTCCTAGCTTTCTTGACATAATTATATATTCACTATGGATCGTCACTCTTACTATTGTTAAATAAAAAAAAGTACAATTTTCTTTTTTTAAATAGTTTGAATGCTTTGTTATAACTTTTTGGTGATAAATGATATGGATTTGTAATTTTTTATGAGTAGTGATAAATTAACTTCTAAATTAGTGTATTATATATTTCTTTATAGTACAACGCACGAACGGTTCTATCAACGGTTAGCCAACAGTTCTATATCGATTAATCATTGAAGTATATATGAATTCGTAAACTTTTCCGGTTCAACATCCTATCACTTTCTGAAAACATCAGTTTACTTTGCAAGTGTGTCGTTTAATTGACTAAATACCTAATAAGAGTTATAATAGCACTACAAGAAACAGATCCTTTAATCATGGGAAATCCCGTATCTGAAAGTGTGTTTCCCGTGTTTAATAAGTTTAGTCACGGGAAAATTACCGTAATATATACCTCCGTGTCTAATTGTAAAGGTCACGGGAAATTGGTACCGTGAATAGTTATAACTAATCACGGTATAATTTCCCATGATAACTTGTACCTATTAATCACGGGATAAACCATATCTAGTTCAAATTTTTTCGCAAAAATCAAAGAATTTTTTTAAAGACGGGATGTGCTTCTTTTAAGATGGTATTAACCATGACAAAAACATTTCTCGCGACTAGTTGTCTATCTCTTGACACGGTATTTGGCTAGTTCTCCCGTAATTAAATACTAATCACAAACTACTATTCACAAGCCTATAATTTATTTATATTAAAATACAATTGAAAAACCAACATTTATAGCTTGAGAATTGAGATAGTAACATTATTGCCAATATAACATATTCCAATATCATTTATTCATCAATATATTGAATAACACATAGTTGAAAAGACTAATATTCTTGTAAGCATGAAACTCAGACTAAACAAAAACTAGTTACATGGTGGCCTAGGCTAACTGATCGTGGTATTCTGAGTCCCTCGAGAATGCTGGATTACTTTTTTTGTTGCTGCTACTACCGCTTATATGTTCACAATCTGCAGAGATAACATACATCACAGTGAAAGGGTTATTAAGAGGACTTATATAAAAAATGCACATGATAACTGCAGTTGTATTAACTTCAAAGATAACTTGACACATCATGCACACTACTGCAATACACTCAACCCAACGGAAGGAATACAAAAAACAAAAGATTGGCACAATCTGGCTCAACCATTGGTCGACAACACATACATCTGATCGACATATATGATAACATAACATAACATAACAACCAAATAGTACAGAGAGTGAACCTGGATTAGGACATTGGGTACTCAATGTTCCATTAGTATGCACACTAACAAACTGCTTCTATCGGTGCTAGTTGAGCTGTTTCTGCTGCTACTACTTTTACTGCTGCTGATTTTATTGCTTCTGCTGCTGCTTCTACGACTGGATGTACTGCTTATTTTGCTGTGATGCAGTTATTGCTGCCATTTATGCTGCTATGGCTTCAAACTGCAACAGGTAGGGATTGAATCTATTAGCCATCAAAACAGAGCACTCAAGGTTGTCAAACCACTTAATTTGCTACAATTGAGAACGTGAGTACAAATCAGCAATAAACCAAACAGCTGCGGCTCTCTAGCATAATGCATGAGCAAGCATAAGACAAATTGGTTGTCTAGCATAATAAAAGCAAACATCATAGAACAGTGAACACCTTAAGCTCGGCTTTCAAACTATATACTCAGACATTCCATACCAGTTGATGAAGTACATACAAATCCATCAAAACTTGACGCATTTCATTTACATTCTCATACGCATCGTGAACATTTTCATTGGCTGATTCAAGTTCTGGAATTGGCTATTTATCAAGAAATAAATTAACACTATAAGACAACACACCTGTAAACCAGCCAAATTGACAGAGCCTGTAAACCAGCTGATCAGCCGACATAAGAGCCTGTAAAACAACCAAATTGAAAAAAAAATATAAACAATTATCTTAATGGCATCTATTAGATCTAGCTAGTGAGATCTATCTGTTCAATTACCATGATACCAAACTTGAACAAGGCTTCCCATGTCCTTGGTTCCTGTAATTAATATACATATGAGAAAGATGAATGGCATAAGTAGT